AGTTTGAGGTTGCTGTGAGCTAGGATGATGCCACGGCACTCTAGCCCAGGCAACACAGTGAGACTCTGTCTCAAAAAAAAAAAAAAAACATCATTTCTGTCATTCTCCCAAACCAAATTTGAGAATTACTAATGTTAGTAGAAAACCCAACTGTAGATATGGAGCAGGGGTTGTGGTGCAGATGCAGATTTGCAGTTATCTCCATAGAAGAGAAGAGCTGGTATAACTGGAGCCACTTAATGTTGGAGGGGTACAGGGAATCACAGGATTGAGAAATAGAAGAGAGAGCTCAAAGAGAAGAATGGCCTGAGAGGAGAGCCAGGAAGTACTGGTTAACAGTGCTACAGGGGATAAGTCCGTGGAGGACTGTAAAAGGGGAATTAGAAGATCCTTGATAACCCACAAGAGAGCTGCTTAGTAGTGATGGGGAACACCAGCCAGATTTTAAGGGGTTGAAGAATGAATGGAGAGACTGAGTACATGGAAACAGCAGGTATGAACTATTTCATGTAGTTCAGCAGTAAATGGAGAGAAAAGACTGATAGCTGGAAGCTGTATGTAGCAAGGATATTTTTTTCCCCTTGGAGGAAACTTAAACATTTCGTAAAACTAAGGTGAAGGAGTCAAAGTTCTTAGCATGGCACAGAAGGTCTTTTGTGATCTGTCCTCTGTCCCCTATCTCATGTCTACTCCTCCAGTGTTACTTCTTGCCACTTAATCCTCTCAAGCTCTCTGCTTCAGCCAAACTAAACTACTTTGCTCCCCAGTCTGAGCTGCCATTCCAGCAATACTCACTCTCACTGGTGCTCAGGATTCCTCACATCCATCTTGCTGGTAATTCTACAGCCTGTTATTCAAAGTGTAGTCCAGGACATCACCTGGGAGCAGAATTTTGGGCCCCTCCCTAGACCTGCTGAAGCAGGTTTTTTTAAGAGATAGAATCTTGCTCTGTCACCCAGGCTAGAGTGTAGTGATGCTATCACAGCTCCCTGCAGCCTTTAACTCCTGGATTCAGGTAGTCCTACTGCTGCCTCCTGAGTAGCTGGGACTATAGGTGCATGCCACCATGCCTAGCTAGTTTTTTTATTTTTCACTTTTTGTGGAGATGGAGTCTTGCTGTGTTGCCCAGGCTGGTCTTGAACTCTTGGTCTCAAGCAGTCCTTTTGCCTCAGCCTCCCAAAGTGCTGGGATGACAGGCGTGAGCCACCATGCCTGTCCAGAATCTGCATTTTAACAAAATTCCTAGATCATTCATATGGTGCTTTGAAATTTAAATATTATCCAACAGTACCATTAGCCCTTGGAGAACAGCCATAGTGTATGGTTTTACTTGTCTCTCCGACGCTGTGCAAGATGTCTTCATTAAATGTTTAGCCAACAAATGTTTTCATTTATTTAACATGTTTAATGAGGACTGACTGTGTGGCAGGTACTGTTTTAGGTAGAGAAGTCATCAGTGAACAGGACAATAAGGTTCTTGCCCTTCCAAAACTTACATTCTATGGGAAGAGACAGACTAACATGTAAACAAATAACTTAAGCAAGAATTTCAGATATTGATATGAAGAAAATAAATGGAATAGATGGAATAGAAAGAAAAAGAGAGTGGGTGTGGGGGAATCCATTTAAAATACATTATTTTAGGCCATGCCAGTTGAGCAGAGGCATGAATGATGAAGAAAGCTAGCTTGCCTTCTTGCAAATACAGAAATAAGTCTGGCATGAAAAAAGCAAGGTGGTGTAAGTGATGAGATCAAAGAAGTGAGCAGGAGCTAAATAATATTGGACGGTGAGTCTCAATGCTGTAAACCCACTGCCCCTTAATTTAACAAATATGTCATAATGCCTTCTTTAATATCCTGAAATAAAAGTCAGCTAATATAACCTACACTCAGTATTCCAATTGCAGTATAAAGAAGAAAAAGGAATGTACTTTTTAATAAATAATAGATATTGCATTATGTTTAAGTTTACTCATGACATTATAAGACATAAAGTCAGATGTAACCTAATACATAAAGGCATTGTAAATGTGTAAATGCAAACTGATACACCTGGATTTATTGGTGTTTCAACTCATACCCTTGGTGACAAACTCTGGGTAAAGTTTTGAGCAAAATAAAGTGCAATCTTTCTTTTATTTTCACAGTGGTTACATTTCAAGAAAAATTCATGGTAGAGTAAATATGAGCAAAAAGTGCTTGTCTTTATAATACAGACAGGGTTCTAGGCTCAGCTATTTATAAACATATTTTTTTCTTATGTGAACATCTGATGGAATAGTTAAAGGTCTTGCAGGATATGGGAGAATGCATCATTGTGTGGGACTTTGCCATACATCACAGGACATTTAGACATTTAGGACCCTTGGGCCTGTATCCACTAAACGTCAGTAACAGCCCTCTAATAATTGTGATAACTAAAAAAGCCTCCAAAAAATTCCCTTAGGGAGTTGACACTACTTCAGTGAGGACCACTGATTATGCTGTAGGCCGTAGTAAGAACTTTGGCTTTTATCCCCATTGCAGTGGTAACCACTGGAGAGTTTCAAATGGATGGAAGAAGGGGGAGACATAATCTGTGGCTTATGAGTGGAGAATGGACTTTAAGAGAGAAAATAATCTAGGAAGTATAACTGGTAGAGCAAGGTTTTAGAAGGAAAACAAGGCAATCAAAGATGCAAGTAGTGGAATTAGTTGTTAAAACAATAGGAAAACTTCTTAAGCGACTGGAGAAAAGAAAGTGTATGATGATGTAAATACATTTTGAGGTAAAGATGTGAATTTATAGCTCACTTTGGATGGCCTCAATCTTCTCAGTAAAACAAAGGATATGATTATGTGCTGCCTGGGCCTGACTGAGGTAGAGGATTGAGGGGGGAAGGGGTGGGACTGTTACCAAGAATGTACCAGGAATAACCAGGAGAAGAATGAAAGGATTTAATGACAGCAGTAAAGACTCACAGCGAGAGTATGAAGTGATGTCATTCGTTTACACTCTTTGTTTTATGGATTTCTGCAGGTAAGGAACCCAGGATAGAGGTATCTAGATTTGTTCAGGGTTGGTGGATTGGTGTAGAGTAAGGTCGGAAGAGTGAGGAACCCAAAGGTGCTAACGAGATCACAGCTGAAACAGCTGAGAGGGCTGATGGTGCACAGGTCAGGCTAGCAGACAAAGAGCAGGTAAAACAGTGGGAACTCAAAGACCCGAGAAAATAGGGAAGAAGCAAGGAAAATAGATGGAGGTGACGGTGAGGGCAGAGAGCGGGTTCAGTTGGAGAGCTGGCAGGATTAGAAGTCATTGCCATAGGAAGAAATTTCTGAGTCTGAGATTTAGAGATAAAACAGTTTAATGTGATGGTGAGATTCAGGCATGGCAGTGCTTATGAGTAGCCACGGTAAAATGACCATTCTAGGTGAGGCGGTCAGCAAACTGAAAACCTAAGAGCACCACTTTATTATGAACCTTGAAAGAAAGGATCCTCGTGAGTGAAGTTTCATTTGTTGTTTAATTATTTTGTGATTAAATTTCATTAACTCCTCAGACTAAAATAGAAACCTCATGAGGCAAGGTACTTTGTGTGTGTGTGTCTCTCTCTCTCTCTTTTTTTTAACAATTTATCCTAGCATCAAAACAGTACCTGGCCCAGCCTGGGCAACATAGCACGACCCCTATCTCCATAAAGAATTTAAAAATTAGCTGGGCATGGTTCTACCCACCTGTAGTCCCAGCAACTCAGGAAGCTGAAGTGGGAGGATCACTTGAGTCCAGGAGTTTGAAGTTGCAGTGAGCTATGATCATGCCATGGCACTCCAGCGTGGGTGACACAGCAAGACTCTGTCTCTAAAAATAAAAATAAAAATAAACAAACAGTACCTGGCACATAGTAAGTGCTCCATCAATAATTGTTGACTGCATGAACAAATAATATAACTATCATTTAAGTACCTACCAGAAATATGAAAAGTGCTTTATACATATATTCCTAATTCTGCAAAGTAGGCATTTTTATCCATTTTACAAATTTGGATGCTGAAGCAGAGTGGCAGTATAGAATAGGGATGCCAGATTGCCTAGGTTTAAATCCAACTCTGCCTCTTACAAGCTGTGTGACCTTCGATAAGTTGTTTATACTCTGTGCCTCAGTTTCCTAATCTGTAAAATAGGGGTTTATAATAGTGCCTACCTCCTAACATTGTTATAAGAATAAATTATTTCATATTTACATAGTTAGTGCCTAGAACGTGGTAAAAACTGTTTGTATGTGTTTAATTTTTTTTTTTTTTTGAGGTGGTATCTTGCTCTGTCACCCAGGCTGCAGTGCAGTGGCATCATCATAGCTCACTGCAGCACCAAGCTCCTGGGCTCAAACAATCCTCCCACCTCAGCCTCCAAAAGTGCTGGGATTATAGGCGTGAGCCACCAAGCCCCTGTGTGTGTTTTTAATCAAATAAAATAAACATAGCTAGTAAGGGTGAGAGTTGGGATTCAAACTGAGGTTTGCTAACTTCAGCCTTTCTCTACACCAAGAAAATACCACATCATGTCATTATACATGATACTTATGTGGTATTGTTACCTGAGAAATCTAGTCTTTTTACAAATATTAACCTTATTCCTAAACATCCCAATGTGCTCACTTTGGGTTATAAAATTCACTCGTGGCACATGATTCAACATTAAGCCCAAGGACTAGGCATATCTATGAAATGATAGATGTTTCTCCATACACACAGGGCAAATATATCATGTGTAATATTAATGCATTTTTGCCGATATTAAAAGTTTAGTGCACTCAGCAGGGACAAGCTACCTTCCTCAGTTATCTGTGTGTCATTAGGATCTGAATCATACTGAATATTAGTCATTAGTTTATAGTTTCTGAGAATGTATGATCACTACGTTGAAATACAGTCTGTCTCATACACACGTTTTCCTATCATGTGTAAAGTCAAAAATGAACTATGAAAATTTTAATTCCCATTCTTATTTCATTTTAGATTTTATGTTTACAATAAAAAGAGACGTCTTGTCAACACACCTTACGTGGATAACTCCTATAAATGGGCTGGTGGTGGATTTCTGTCTACAGTGGGTGACCTTCTGAAATTTGGAAATGCAATGCTGTATGGTTACCAAGTTGGGCTGTTTAAGGACTCAAATGAAAATCTCTTACCTGGATACCTCAAACCAGAAACAATGGTTATGATTTGGACACCTGTCCCTAACACAGAGATGTCCTGGGATAAAGAGGGTAAATACGCAATGGCATGGGGTGTCGTGGAAAAGAAGCAAATATACGGTTCCTGCAGGAAGCAGCGGCATTATGTCTCGCATACTGGAGGGGCAGTGGGCGCCAGCAGTGTCCTGCTGGTCCTTCCTGAAGAACTGGACACAGAGGCTGTAAACAACAAGGTTCCTCCAAGAGGAATAATTGTTTCTATCATATGTAACATGCAGTCTGTTGGTCTCAATAGCACTGCTTTAAAAATTGCCCTTGAATTTGATAAAGACAGATCAGACTGATACCTTACAGGTGCAAAATGAGCTATTTTGGCTTTTTGAAACCTTAAAGTTCCAAAATACATGAGACTTTTAAGAACAAATTTGTAATAGAGGGTAACTGAATGCAGAGAATTATGTACCTCTAATTGCTTAATTTTATAACTGTCTTTTATTGTAGAATTAATTCTTTATACTCAGGGAAGTATCCATGTTGTTTTTACTTTTTGCAGAAAGTCTTAACTCTTGAAATAAAATATTCTGATAAAAATATGTACTTTCCGAATGTATAATATAGGGAAAATCTCATTCAACAAGAGCCTCCAAATATTATCCTTTTGGTATGACAGGAGAATCAAGACTATGAGAAATGGTATGTTAGTTATCTATTGCATCTTAAAAGAACAAACATTTATCATCTCACAGTTTCTGAGGCTCAGGAATTCAGGAGTAGTATAGCTGGGTGGATCTGGCGCAGTCTCTAATGAGGTTGCAGACAGGGTGTTACAGTCATCTAAATGATTCTCTAAGCCTGGAGGAAATGTTTCCAAGATGCTTACTTGCATGACTGGGGTCAAGTCAGTCCTCTGGTTGGTGGGTGGCAAGAGACCTCAGTTGGTCACCATGTAGACCTCTCTATGGGGCTGTTTGAGTATCTTAATGTTATGGCAGTTGGCTTTCCCCAGAGCAAGTGATGAGAGAGAGGAAGACAGAACCAGGCAGAAGTCGCTCTGTTATAAGCTAGACTCAAGTCACATACCATCACATCTGCCATGTTCTGCGGGTCACATGGGACCTGACCAAGGTTGGAGGGATTACACAGATTGCGAATATCATCAGGATGTGGGGATCATTGGGGGTCAACTTAGAAGCTGGCTACCACAGTCTGACCTCTGGTCCCCAATGATTTATTTCCTTCCCACATACAAAAATACACTTACCTCTTCCCAAGTCCTCCTGAAGTTTCATCCCATTATAGCATCAGCTCAAACCTCAGTATCTTAGCATCTAAATCAGGTCCAAGAGTGAATGAGGCTCCTTGGGGTTAGTTCCTAAAGTACGGCATCGCAGGTACAGTTCCTCTTGATCTTAAGATCTGTGAACTTTAGACAAGTTATTTGCCCCTCTCATGTGCAACATACAGTGACACAACAGATACAGGATAATTGCTATTCTATTATACCCTCCTGTTCAAACAGTGGAGAAATGGAAGACATACAGGAGTCCATGGCAAATCTGAAATTCAATCAGACATAAGTTGGCAGCTCCTTGATTATTATTCAAGGCTTGGAAATAATTCTTGGCTCCTGGCTATATTCTCTGGGCTCTTGATTCTGCCCTCTGAGATTATTTTTTCATGAAAGGAAACCGTGTGTTTCAGCTTTGTGGCTTTCTCAGCCTACTTTCTGCTTGTAGAAGTTTGGGGGTCCAAGATCCAAAGGCCTCTTTGTACTGTCTCTGTCCTTTCAGTCTAGGTTAGCAGTGTTTCTGCCAATATAAATTTTTTTAATGTTATGGGTATCCTGTGAATCTTATTGGAGTTTATGCCATAGACAAAAGGCACACCCAAAAATCTCTTAAAATAAGCCCGTCTCTAACTTGGAATTCTCCTGAGACAATTGTAGAAAATACTTAAGCTAATAATCTATTAATAATGTGCTCTATTGTTGAAATAATTCTCTGAGGCACCATCTTGGTTCTTTTTGAAGTCTTAAGAAATGATTTTATAGCCACACTCTCCATGTCATCTTTAGACCTTGTTTTCCTGGAAGTGCCCTAGCTTTTATCTTTGCCTTGAAGACATTTCTTTTTTTTTTTCTTTTTGTGCATGGCTATGCATGTATATTAATTTTAGTATTATTTGCCATTTGAAGCGTCAGGAATTTTTTAAAACCCTCAATTATCCATTCTTTTTTGTTTAATAATCCTTCCTTTAGCTTATCTCTCTCATGCATGTTAGTATAAGCATCAAGAAGAATCCAGGAGGCACATTCAACAATGTGTCTGGAAATCCCCCCAGCAAGATTACCCAGTTCATTATGTACATTTTCTACTTCCTAAGTTATTGCAGGTGACAGCATTGCTAAACTTTCTGCCGCTACAAGAATCCCTTTTCCTCCCATCTCCAATCAAATTTCCCTTCCTTTTTCTTTTCTTTTTTTTTTTTTTTTTTTGGTAGAGACAGGGTCTCATTCTATTGCCCAGGCTGGGGTGCAGTGGTGTGATCATAGCTCACTGCAACCTCAAACTCCTGGGCTCAAGCGATCCTCCCCCTTCAGCCTCCTGAGTAGCTGGGACTGCAGGCATAAGGCACCACACCTGGCTAGATTTTTCTTACTTTCCCTAAGTCCACACTTGCAGCCTCCTCAAAGGCCATCATACTACTAAACAGTTTATTCAAGGTTCTTCGGGTTTTTATTAACACACTCTTCAAAGACCTCTCAACTTCCACCCAGTGCTCTGTTCCAAGTATGCACATGCACACACACACACATATATGATCTATATATATACATGATATAATTTACAGTTCACATACCATAAAACTCACCCTTTAAAGTATATAATTCGGTGGTTTTTAGAATATTCACAAGATTGTGCACCTATTACCACTATTCAATTCAAGAACATTTTCACCTAGAGAAGAAACCACCTTATACCCATTAGCTTTCGCTCCCAATTCCTCCCTCCTTCCAACCCTCTGCTTTCCCCTCGGATTTGCCCATTATGGACATTTCATATAAATGGTGTCATACAATATGTGGACTTTTGTGTCTTGAGCTTTTTCACTTAGTATAGTGTGTATTAATTATCTATTGCTGCATAACAAATTACCCCAAAACTCATTATCTCACAGTTCCTGTGTTTCAGAAGTTTGGGAACACCTTAGCTGGTGGTTCTAGCTCAGGCTTTCTTGTGAGGTTGCAGACAAGATGTCAGCAGGGACTTCAGTCACCTGAAGGCTTGACTGGGGCCGAAGAATCTGATTCCAAGATCGCTCACCCATGCAGCGATAGGCAAGAGGCCTCTGTTACTTGCTGGCTTTTGGCAAGAGGTCTCAATTTCTCACCACATGGGCCTCTCCATAGGTCTGCTTGACTGTGCTATGGCTTCCCTCAGAGCAAGAGATTAAAGAGAGAACCAGACAAAAGCCACAGTATCTTTTATAATCTAGCCTTGGAAGTAATATGTCACCACGTATGCCAAATTTTGTCAGTCACAGAGACCCACCCCAATTCAGTGTGGCAGAGGACTATGCAAAGGAATGGAGACTGGCTTCATGGATGGCTTATCGTAGTTTTGACATTTTGGGGAATTTTGTTGTAGCAGCCATGGATTATGTATACTGGAGATTACCAGTGTGCCACTGAATTCAGGAAAATTCAAAAAGAAATCAAAGTGTTTATACACTCTAATAAAAGAAGGGTTTTCTATAGTTCTGAGTTCTAAGTCTGTTTCTTCACTTTCCACTTTAATCTATAAAAGTAAATAGATGAATATCTCTGTTCGGTTGAAGTATAAAGAGAGCAGCTCCCGAAAACAGATCCATTTTATCTCCTGTTTCTCTCTGGCTCTCCTGATCTGTAGGTCTTATATTCATGTTTGTCAGATTTTCAACCGATGCACTCTGATAAATATAAAAGTGTCATGCCTTTCATTGTGTTATTTGAAATTTTAAATAGGTGTTAAATTATTGTGACTAAAAGCAAAAATCAAATTGCTGATAATTTTAAAAAATTTTTGATATTGAAAGATACATCCTTTTAATTTAATCATGTGATAGCAAAGTAAGCTTTTGAACCTTTGCACAGAGACCACAGAATGAAAGACCAACTGCCTGGTGCCACGGAACAGGTGGCATCTAAACTGGGAGAGAGGGATGAGGGAAGAACATTGGACCCCAGCGAGAAGGACGGTAGGGCTGAACTACAGGGACAGGTGGATCCGCAAGTGTGAAGAGCTCTGTGAATTTAGAGACTGTTTTTTATGAACAAGGCGCTTGCTTCAGACTAGTTGTTTTTAATCTTTTTTAGGATTCTCGTTGAAGCTCTGAGAAGAGCCATGAACCTTCTCGGAAAACGAGCCAATATACAAATATCAAGGGGCACAGACCCCCAATTAAGAATTCTTGTTTGGATAGTTTTGCCATAATAACTTCTATTCTTTTCTCACCCAATACTGTTAGAAACAGTATTGATAAATTCCCACATCTCCCAAAATGCTGTCTCTGGTGTGGCTGATCCTTAATATAATATCATGGGGGAAGAAAAGAGAATTTGACTCAGTCTCTTGTGTTTCTGTTATTTTCTCTGGAATTTACAACATGTCAAGGTGATCATTGGCTACAAATGATTTGCTTTACTTTTCTTGTTTTAAATTGATCTCCTGTTTTGTGAAACTAAAAAAAAAAAAAAAAATCTACACCTAGAAAAATACATGACAGATATCCATATCCCAATACCTAGGATTTAAAATGGTAACATTTAGTCAAATTTTCTTCATTAAAAAACAAATATAACAGATAAAGCTTAAGACTCCTTTAACTACCACCCAAAATCCCACTCCATTTGCCCAGCAAGCAAATGCTGTCAGTAGTTGGTGTATATCCTCCCAGTTCATTGTTTAATACTTTCACAGCAGTATAATGTATCCATGTCTGATACATAGTATTAATTTGTACTATTTACATTTATACAAATAGTATCATAGTATACATGTTTTCTATGTTCCCTTAAATTTAACATTGTTTTTATGATCTGGCCAACTTGATACATATAAATCCAGTTTATTGTAACTTTTATAAAATATTGTGTTCATCACTATATCGCATTGCACTATCCATTCTCTTATTTATGGATTTGTTTTACTATTATAGGCAATGCTGTAAGGAACATACTTTTCTTGGGTTGAATCTTATGAAATTGCTGTTTTTATAGGTCAAAGCGCTTGAAGATGGACAATTTTATATAGTTGAACCTAATTATCTCATTTGTATACCAACAGTTTAACATCTGACTTTTAATTTTTGACTATACAATGGATGAAATGGTATCTGATATTGTTTTTATTTGCACTTACCTATTGTTAACGAAGTTAAACATATTTTCATGTGTTCATCAGCCATTTGTATTTCCTCTAATGTAAGTTTTCCACTTAGAATCTGTGCTCATCAGACCAGAGAACATAAAGCATTTCTTTAAGAATTGATTGTGGATGTGTTCATGGATTAGGCAGTAAATAAACTTAGTAAGTATTGGAGTTCTCCCAAAG